TGTCTGTTTGGTATATTTGCATATGTATTTTATTGCATTTTTATTGTATTTTTTTATTGCACTATCCATGTATTTGTTTTTCTAAAAGCCCATCTGGGAACAAACATTGCAAATTAAATGCTATGATTTGTGGTATTATTCGGCTCAGTGAATATTCCATGCGTATGTATCTGTCTTTATTAAAATAAACAGGAATAAATAAACAAACCAAAACAAATCCAGGTCTAAAAAATATATCTTTCTGCAACAGCAAACAGAAAAGAGAGCTGTTGGATGACATGCAACAACCAGGTTTCTCTTTGCCTTGCATGCTCTTTTTTCTTTCAGATTCTGTTTCCACAAGAATTTCTTGATATTTCAGCAAAAATCAGACGATTCAAAGTGAAAGTTTTAACCCCAAGTCTTTGTTTTGGCACAGTGAAGATTGCAGAATCGACTTGGACAGGCAGCTAACAGCAGGAAAAAAAAAAGTAACACTAAAACCTCATCAACACGGTGATATCTGTGTTGAGCGAGACACGGTGAGACAGCAGACTCAAGCTTGCAGTTATGAGAGGCTGCTGGAAGGATTGGATTGTCTCAAATGAAAGGTGTCAGACACCCCAAGGCTCACAGAGTGCTACGAGGAAAAACATGTTGTTCTGGCACCTGTTGCTGTCCTGAAGCACATGAAAAAGCTGAAGGACTTGTTGGTCCGAGGGAAGGAGACCCAGAAGAGAAAGAAGCCAAAAGAGACAGTGGATGGAGGAAAAAAAAAAAAGAAAAGAATCCCTGATTCTCTTCTTTAATGTGGAGCTGGGCTGAAATGTTGAACATGACTCAACATTTTACATTCATCTCATCAGCAGAATCTGAAATTCTGACTGTTCATATCCGGGAACATGAAATTGAAGTGAAGTTCTTCAGAGCAATGAAGGATTACTGAGTGGATGCAAAGTGAGCAAGGACCAGGGCCTGAACAGCACTGTCGGAAAATAATTACAGAATTGTTTCTTTTGTCAGCACACATCCAAGGACAACATGTCCAATGTCACAATTTATTTTCAGAAGGGTGCACCACAGAATAGGGACAGTGCAATAGAGTAGAAAACAGGCCATAATCTGACCTGCCCAGATTAAAATCTTGTACTTGGTAGAACTAATTTATCTTCTAAATTGTAACAATTATTATTTTCAAGATAATGACTGCAGAGATGTGTGATCATGCGCGACAGATATGTATATCTGTAAGAACAGTTTCGTACTTTTAAAGTATTTGAGGCAATCTTCAGAAAGAAAAAAACCTTTCTTTTGGCTTTTAAAGAGTGTTAAGGCACACACATAAAGGCACAATACCTGCAGCGCGTGGCTCCATAAAACGCACACACTGAGTGCAGCTGTATACCTGAAAGCTCTGCTGCAGCACAAAAATAACAAGCAACGTGCGTGCAGGAGCTGATAGCAACAGCCGACATGATTGAACTCATGAGCTAGAATAAGACTGCATGAATATAAACATGAGACAGCCATGGGCAACAAAATGGGGAAGGAGGAAAAAAAATATCAAATCTAAAGCGCCGGGCAATTTCTAACATCCACAAGCAATTGTAAGTTTACAAAGACTGAGGGAAAACTGGCAAAATGCAAAGTGTGAGCCAGTGAACAGTATGTAGAACAAAAGTCTGCATGCACACACACACACAAAGTAGATCAGTGAAAGGAATAACTGATAGCTAGAAGGAGGTACATGAATAAATAAATGAATCCTATATTATATTATTATTAATCTACCTGTCTGCATGCTAACATGCAGATATTTAGCAGGTTTAATGTTTATTATGTTCAGCATCTTAGTTTAGCCTGTTATCATGTCAACATTTGCTAATTATCACTACACACGTTATTTGCTACTAAATTTCATGGCATTAAATAGTTGTGGAGACATTTCACTCCAAATCACAAATGTCAACCTCATGGTGGTTGCCCTTTTAATTCATTTATGTAATTCATACACCCTCGAAAGGGTTCAGTAATAAGACTAATAGTGGTCAGTGGTGTACTACAGCTCAGAAATGCACCTTTAGATTACGAATTTGATATATAGTAGGTAGATTATGTTGGCTTACAAATGAAAAATGAAGAACTATCTCAATCACCAGCAGTGTGCCTAACTACACCAGCCTACAGAGTCTGAGAGTCTTTTGAAAAGTTCCTGCTGTGCCCACCTGACCTCTCACCTGGAAGCAGCGGTGACACCTCTCTACTCCTGACTGAGCCGACTTGCCTCTTGTCATTAAACCTGGAGGTGTCACTAACCCCTACGACTCCACCAAAACACACACACATTACACACACAAAGTTCAAGTGCACATCCCAACCTGCTTTCTGATGGACTTCTTTCCCAACATTCGTGCCAGCACGACTCCAATTTCAACACCATCAACCAGAATCAGATGGTGAAATTATTGTGCTGCTAAAAGCTATTCATCATCTTGTGACCATGAGACAGCTCAGCTCTTCCTCATCATTTAGGAGGAATTCAGCTGATTTCTTCCTCTTTTCCTCATTTTTGAAACTGAAACCAAAACTCAAAGACTCATGAGGATGATTTAGTTTATACCGGTTATATTGTGCAAGTTAAATGTAGTAAAATAAAGCAAGAAGCCTGAGGCCGTGGTCTACAGTGATTATAGAACAGTTAAGCAGAGTTGTTCTGGAATAGAGTTATAAAATAGTAATAAAACGTTAAAAAATAGTTACTACATATACCCGTCAATACCCGTTTCATAAAATAAACACACAGCACCAAAAATAAATTAATAATTTATTGATAACAAATAATCATTCTTCCGCCAGGCAATGTAGTTCCTCTGCAACATTTAGCAGAATGGTTGCCAAGCAACACACAGATGCAGTGGAAAGCAAGCTTAAAGATTGGGGGGATTATTAACATTCAACTGGACATCGCCATTAATTGTGCAATTGTTGAAGTAGTAATCAATTACATTAGCGCTCCTCTTTGCTGGTATAGGGGTGTTTGACTCCGGACAGGTGTGTTTTAATTGCTCAGTGCCAGGAGCAAAGAATATTACTCCAGCATCTTCTCTTCCCAACAAATCGGGCATTTTGAAACAAACAGTTTGGCGCTGATGTGATGTGGTCACAGGTGTGTGTTTATAGAGGATTTTACAACGGTTTCTAACACAGTTCAGTCAATCATAATCGAGGACCAGCAATAAGCCCCAAGAGGCTGTGGTTTACAGTGATTTCAGAACAGCTAGGGGGCGTTGTTAGGCACCATACGATGAAGTGTAACAAGGAGTAACAACACCAATTTGATTCCAGACAGTTACACACAGCTTCAACTTGTACTACACAAATTACATTTTTGATCACCGCGATCTAACTCAAGCATAGAAATTCTAATGAATGCGAGTCGACTCCGGGCTCTGGGGGTACAAATATCACCATCTCCTTGCTGCTTTCTCTACCTTTCTGATTCAGGCTGCAGCTTAAATCTCCCAGCAGCATCTCAAACTGCACTTAGGCTAATTCCCCATAGAGAAACCCTGCATTACTCCCCCACTTTTACTCCGCTAAATCCCATGCTCGCTTGCCTGCTCTCTCTCTCTCTGTCATCATTGCTAAAATAAATCAAAGCTACAATAATTCATGAGTGTTAAGAGTGTGTGTGTGTGTGTGTGTAGGGGAGTGAAGGCCTGATTTTTACAGAGAACGAGGAGTTTTGAGCAGCTTTAACTCCATTTTATTACTGTACAGGCAGAGAGAGGACATGAAAACAAAAATAAAGAATTCAGGTTTTTAGTGTAGAGAAGAAGACATAAAAATCATGTTACTGAAAATGAATGAATATAACTCAATACAAATTAGGCTATTGCTCTCGACAGTAATCAAATAATGGTTAGCAGGAGATTTACGAGATCCAAGACCGAAATTGTTCCCAGGGAAGATGAAAGGGAAAAAGAGGTTTATGCAGCAGCGTTGATATGACTTCTGAAAATACGCATTAATAGCAAAAAAAGCTACAGTGAGGAACCGCATTCAGCAATCAGTGTGGATTTAGAATTTCCAATCTCCAAACTGACTTGGAGGAGGATGAAAGCTAATGAGGTTTCTTGTCAACAAAGACTTGAGCGCTGCAGCCCGACCTCTGGGCAACGTGAGTCACTTCACTACATTGGGTTCGGTGATTTTTTTCAAAAGTCCGGGCCACCAGCCGGGCCGGATTTATCAAAACCATCAAACAGGCCACTCATGGATGTCAGCTGGAGGACAAGATGCTAACTAAGTCAATCTCACTGAAGATGCATTTGATGCTTTTATACAGGAAATATTTAATGCAATACAAAGCCTTAAACTTGATAAATGATGGAGGTAGCAACAAAACAAAAATCATAGCCTTTTTTTTTTTTTGATGAAACAAAAACCAAACTAGGTCAGTGCAGATATACTGCGGACTGGCAAAAACACACACACAAACAAAGGGCAGAAGAGAGAATAAACAGACATTTCTGTTTATGTCATTGCTTTGAAAGGGAAAGGCACTGTCCATATTGCACTGCAGATTATCTAAGACTGTCTGATCATTCATCTAAACTGTGTGTGTCGCTAGTTTACACCAGTGGTTCATCTTCATAGTAATTCTTTTTTACACGGCAAAATAAAAGAAGTCAACAGTTTTACGCTACGTGGCTATGCATAAATACACATTAAAATGAACAATAAACAAAATATTATTATGCTAATTGTAAATGTAATGTTGTGTTCAAAAGTACAGCTGTCATATCACCAATATTGGCTACAGCTTTATTATTTGTTCTGTTTTGACATGTTTGCAAATGTAACGTAAAAGGTTTATGTGTGGTTAATATTTTGTTTTTGTTGTGAAACATCCTTAAAAATGTACAGTAAAAACATGGAAATGAACAAATCTCCTGTCTTAGGGCACTTTAGAAAACACAGCTTTAGATAATAATACGCTTATTTTAACAGAAACTCACCGGCCAGCACTCCCGCCATGTAAAGCAGACTTATTCGTAAGATGCCATGGACCATCTCCAAAGGAACGCCAATCATCAGCTGCAGTAACGCATTGAACCCCAGCTGCTCCAAACTGAAGACCGAGCACAGAAGAGAGAATCAAATGACAGCACACGATATTTGTTTCTCCTAACCACTATGCATCATCTTCAGAAACCAACCAGATTTTAATTCAACCAGTCCTGCAGAAGTCAACATGGTGGTAAGTGGAGGTTCGTACCCAACGTGCATGAACATGTAGCTGAAGAAGCGCCACACTTGCGCGCGGTGGCCAGGATGGTAGACCAGGGGGCTCTTCATGAAGTCAGGCTGATAGGTCTGCAGTACCCACTTGTTAAGCATGATGCCATAGCACATGAACACGATAATCTGTAACAGACACAGAAATGACACCAAACTGTCACTTCTTGCTGACATACCCATTACACGCTGTCTCTGCAGACTGCTGGTACAAAGGCGGAAATTGCGCTACAAAAACAAAACCCATTGTGCTTTCTGAAAGACACATGACGTTTTCTTCTCTGTCTGTATTCCTCAGCTGATGCTTATTAGACTCGTGGAGACAATCACTGCCTGCAGGAAAAAAAACGGCACATCTGGTTCAATTCCATTAATTTCTTTTCATAGAATAATGACTCATTGTCTCTGTGAATTAAAATGAATGTGAACCATTATTATCACATCCTCATTGTCATTACAGACCATTCAATGCCATTTGGAGGCATTATGAGAGCACTTGGCTTTTTCTCCTCAGAATTATGATGATTTCAGGGGAATAGGTTGAAGTTTTGTTAAGAAGCTGTAGGTTATTTTTGCAGCTTAATCCCCAACTACTCAATAGTGGGATGTGAGGGCGTTTGTGTTAGTGTTTTTTTTTTTTCAAATGAACATAATAGGTCATTTAATGCCACTGTAGAGGCCAGGGTGCTCACTGACCTGGTTTCCAAGTTCCAAAATCTGAAAAAAAAAAACCTGCATGCAGGCTGACTGAGGGCTTCAGCTTGGAGGAATGGCATTAAATGCACCCACTAAGCCCCTAACTCCCAAATGGGTTACCAGCTCATATCGAGCTCACAGTAAAAGTGTGTGATCAAAGGCAGAAAAGCTTTTCTGTGGGTTTGAAGCGAATGACTGAGCCAACAGAACAGTCTAAAGTCAGTGTTGTGGGTTAGTAGCACATACTCAAGTAAAATATTGCAGGCCAAACATGCTTTAGGAATATTTGAATCAGTAGGACAGTCTGCATTCAGCTAGTCAGACGTCACCTCCTGAATCTCACCTGTACGATAGTGACGATGGCGATGAACACAGGCGGGGGACACAGGCGGTTCTGGTGGAAGTACCAGCGCCGGTCTGTCTCGCAGGGCAGGATCTCGTAGGCCACATAGCGAACAAAACGTTTGTACAGACCCAACCCCGTCTCGTCCAGCAGGATCTCCCTCTGCAGTGTGCGGCGGCCATTGGCGATGGCCCGTCGGAAACTGCTGGAGCGCTTACTGCTCATCTGAGAAAAAGGTGATAAAACATGCATGTATTACTCTCAAGAGGTCAGCTGAATATCTTGGATTGCTTGGATTTTAAAGAAACTTGGAAGAACAAGGAGCATCATTTTAAAAATCAGACTGATACATTTTCACTTATTTAAAGGAATAGTTTGACCTTGATTTTAGGCAGAACACTTGTACACTTTTTTACTCTTGTTGAGAGTTAGATAAGAAGATAGAAACCACTGTCGTGTCCATTAAATATGAAGCTACCATCCAGCGCGGCCTATTAGCTTAGTTTAACATAAAGACTGGAAACAGGGGGGAAGCAGCTAACCTGACTCTATCCAAAGCTAATAAATTGGCCTACCAGCAACTCTAAAGCTCATTAACTAACACTTTATATCTTGTTTACCATGGCAGTTCCAGGCAGTAACTTCTCCTGGCCAAGAAATAGTCTCATAATTGGCACAGAATCCCCCATAAAACCACAACATGACATTTTATGCTTTTATGCTGAGTTTTTGTACAGATTAAACAAACAAGACAGAACAGTGTTAATTAGTGAACTTAAGTTGTGCGGGTAGGTGGATTTTGTTAACTTTGGACAAAGCCAGGCTAGCTGTTTACAGTATTTATGCTAATATAAGGCTAAATGTAGCCTTATATCTACTGGACAGATATGAGAGTGGTATTAATCTTCAGCAAATGACTGTATTTCCCAAAATGCCAAACTACTGCTTTAAGAAAAGATGAGAAACTTATTTATTGTGACTTTAAGAAATCAGTAGACAGCTTTGCATTAATTTACTGTGTTTGTTTTTTGCTTCTCGATGACTTAATGTCTTTTTTGTAATAAACTTGTCTGGAGTAGTTTTATGAGCGTTACTGTTAGCAGCTGGAGGACACCTTACCAGGATGTGCAGATCTCATCATCTCCTGCTGTGGAATTTTTCATTTTTGCAATTAAATTCATCAGTAAAGTACGATAGTTTCTTTTCTTTTCATCCTAGATGGGAAGTGCTGATTTTACAAGGGATAGCATGACGGTTTAAAAGTTTTACTTTTATCATTAACTAATCTTTTTTTCAGGACTTTTTCACGACGTTTTCTGATGTTCGGAGGCTTCAATAAACACTATTCTCCAACCCCCGCAGACTAAGAGTGGTTTAAACTCCAACCTACAACGCCCAAACTTTTTGCACTATTTATATTTAATTTCCACATGTACAGTTTAGTTTTAGTCAAGCTGCTCACCATTCCTACTTGAATATTGCATAGTGTATATACTATTATATTTTGTCATATTTTATTTTTGTGATATCTTGTTGTACCTCCACTTTTGTACTCTCTTTGCACTATATTGCCCTATGCTGCTGTGGTAATCTTGAATTTCTCCTAAGGGGGATCAATAAAGGAACATCTTACCTTATCTTATCTTATTGGTGCATTCAGTGGGTACTTTATTGTATGTATTTGTATTTGTATTTTATTCATGTGTGATTTCAAGGTTTCAAGTAGCCATGATTTGATTTCAAGTATCCATTGTTTGCATTTTTTGTATGTGGTGACTAATGAAATCACTTATTCAGAAATGAAAGAAAATAAAAGAGAGCAGTTTCTTATAGAAAATGATTAATCAGCATCTTAAAACAGTTTAAATCTTCTTTTGTCAAACACACTGACAGTCTTTTCAGTCCCATCTGTGTGAGATAAAAGATAGATGCCAGTACTGAAAGCATTATGCAGATGATTAGTAACAATACTGTCTATATGGCAGATTTTACTCTAACTAATGCACAAATTAGGAGGTAAACACAGCACTTAATAAATCTCCAATGCGTGTTTTTATTCAACTGGCATTAGAAATACATTTTCAATAATATTAAAGCCAAATTACATGTATAAATAACTGATGATTACTTTTATCCCACAAGAGAGCTGACAGAATTGCAGCTGAATATTCATGGCTGATAAGAAACTTAAATAATGTATTAGTGTTTTGTGATTTAGACAGAATGTAAGCGTGGCTTTGGGCAGGGTTGATTGCAGCACAGACATAATAACAAATGGGCTGTTGAAGTGATTTTGCCCTTGAAAAACAAATCTTTGTTAAGAAGAAATATTCCATGGAAAGAGGGAAAGTGCGTGTGTATGTATGTGTGCATATTCATGTTATCACAGGCTCCAGGTTTGCTTAGTGAGCAGGAGCTCTGCAGCAGCTTGCAGGCCAGCAGGACCAACTCTTGATAAGTTCTTTAATAGAGGCTTAGGATGAAAACTATCCTAATGCCACTATTTTGACAGCGAAGGCAGAGAACTGTCAGGATAACAGAGAGTTCTTTTCCGCCAGAGTTACCACTGAAAATACTGTCTGACCAGCTACCCACAGCAGGGATCCTTTAGAGTCAATATCTGCATTTCCTTATAGAGAACACGTCTGCATGCTTCACAGGTAAGGATTTACTTAATGGCTGATACTCAGTGGCAATGCCAGATGCCTGAAGTCTCCAGTGTAGGTAAAACAATACAGCTCCTTTGAGGACAAGTGGCTGACTATGCAATTATCTCTAAATCATGTGTTATGATGTGATGTGACAACTTATGAAAATTTGTTTTCAAGAAAAGCAGTGAAGGAAGAGAGAGGGCATGTGGGCAGCAGCTGCTACTGTTAACAGTATTAATCTACAACAACAGACCTTATGTATAGGTTTCTCACAATTATAACCTTTGACAATATGGAAGCTTCATGTGAAACCGAAACCTCAAAAGGGGGCCTGTAGGAAGTACAACCCACCATTAAAGTACACCATTTGTATTTCATTAGCCAGATTCTGCTGTTTGTAGACTCATTATATGTAGACACAGCAGGGGGCATAGTGAAAGAAATTGTGGGTCAATAGCTGTAAAAGCTAATGAGCTAAAATACTGGAGGACAAAGACTGTAAATAAATGAGCCAATAATGAAGAAGTAATGAACATATTGCTCCACAAATGCAGCAGCTGCCTTTTTTTTCAATTTCGAGAAATATATATATATAAAAAACCATGCTAATCCCTTTTGGAAGTTAGCAGAGCAGGACGTGGTAACTTCCCTAACTGTGGGTAATTATGACACTGGTGGTTGTACAGTGAGGGTGTAAGGGCCTGTTGCACAGTGATAACCAGAACGATGTCGAGCTGGGCTGCTGGCTTGCCCGCAGATGGAGGGATGCGTATTTAGTATGGAAATCAGGCCTGGAAAATGCAATTATGCTATACTTGAGGCAGGGAGTGAAAGCAGAAGAAGAGGAGAAGAGGGACATTAGAAGGCAGAGAGGGGGAAATTAAGAAGGGAAGATGAGATGCCTGCCTGGGTGCACTCGATTCACAGGTTCTGGAGGCCACCGATAAACACTGAAGGTAAGACATCTCTTTTCTCATTCTAAATATTCATGTTTGTGAAATCACAATGAAAAAAAGGAAGTGTGTTTATATGAAGAATAGAGGTGGAATAGAGAGGAGAAGGGATGTAAATATAATTGTGTTTTCCTCTTCTGTTGGCTTTCTTCTCTAACTAGTCTCTGTGTCTGAGTTTATTTCAGTGTTTGGCTCGGTGACAGCACCTGCCACCTCTCCACCTTGCACTGTATCCTCTCCCATTCATACTGCCTCTCTGTGAGAATGTGTTCCCAGGAGACACGGCTGAACATAGCTGTCACTCCTCTTCGCCTCCTCTGACATGCAGGGCTGTCGCCTCTAAAGTGAGCATTAGCAGCCTTTTGAAGTGACGACAGGAGAGAAACGGTGAACGAGACAATAAGGCACACATGAGCAGCCAAAACTTGAGATGGGGGGGGCAAGGTGTGCCGAAAATCACATGACATCACCTAAAACGCTGGAAGGGGAAAACCTCTGACATCGGTAACAGTAGAAGTTCCCTGACGAGGCAATGCCTGCCAGGGAATAATTGATGCTGAGTCTAAGAGCACAAAGATAAAGATAGTATTCCCCTTTAGGGACGGCTGAAGGGGCCAAACTGCCAGCAATGTGTGTGTGTGTGTGTGTGTGTGTGTGTGTGTGTGCGCCAAACAGCAAGGGTCCATCCTCCTCCTCTTGGTAGCTGCGTGTTGCCTACTGTACATGCTGCTCTCAGCTCTAGTCAATTGTCCTTGATGGATTAATTAGCCACACCACATGGTCAATACTTCCCAGCTCAATACTAATTAGTAATAACAATTAAAAAATGTGGTTTAAAGGCCATTCAAGCGTCTGCACTAGAGAATACAAAAAAATCCACATATTATTCAGATTTTGCTTAGTCGGTGGTGTTGACCATCTCTCTATCTCATTTGTTGTCACACACACAATAAATCAGTTATCTTTACAAGAATATTAAAAGACTTCTGCAATTAACCGAGCTTACATAGAGATTCACCACCAGGAGACTAACACTGTCACTGTACCCATTTACCATATAATTTGTGAGTCATTCAGAAGACCAAAATCCCCCTCTCCCTTGCCCTCTCTCTCTCTCTCTCTCCCTTGCCCTCTCTCTCTCTCTCTCTCTCTCTCTGTGTCACATACACGCTTGCACTCTTACAGCAGAATCTAAATCACTGCGGATCTCAGCCTCGCTGATTCTACCCTGACCCAGATACTCAGGTTCTTTTCTTGCCCAAATCCTTTTAAAATGAGAGTCCACCTTTTTTTTTCCCCTCAGCAGTTTGCGGCCGCAGCCTTCCTTCATGCTTTAATCATTGTGGTGCTAAAACTCAGGAAAAAAAAACAAACCTTCACTGCTGGACACTTAAGCAAAGTGCAGCACCAGCAACCGGTCTCAAACAGAAAGCCTTGACTGGAGTTTGGTTTGGGATGTGATGTCGATAGGTATCTCTGTCCCTGGAGACAGATGCACTGTTGGCACTTAATGTGACTTGAAAACTTTAAAATACTGTATATCAACTACTTGCAAAGTGTCTATTGGCTGAAGTTCATTTCTGCTTTCTGTAAGTGCTCTCTTTCTTACAACACTGCTTCAAATGTGACAAAAGACCCAGTTTAAAGCAGAACATTTAAATACATATATTACATAAGCGTTTCTCTAACTATACCTCCTGAGGGAACAGAAAGTGTAAGCGCAACATTTGGGCAAAAGGGTAAAAATGGTGCACAAAGCAGCAATCTTAAAAGTCCTTTAACCTGAACAAAGAGAATCCCCCAGCCATAATCTCTAAAATACACCCTGTATCCGTGTAATTAACCATAGCAGCCATTTTGGATCTCCATCGAACATTAGCCAAATTACCACCCGAAGGAAAACAATGACACACTTCTTCAATTACACAGCCATTACATGATAGCATCAGAGGACTCTCTTTAAAGAAATCAATACGTGCAATTACACACATAGGAATACATCTAACTTAGATTGGCCCAGTTTTACCCTCGATTCATAAACAGATTTACTCACACGTCATAGAACCCCCCACCCCTCTCCCCCAAAAGCCCGACCATGTGTGAACTTTGACACCTCGGGTGTCTCTCAGCCTCCTGCATCGACAAACTGTCTGCGTGTAATTGTGCGGAAATGTGTCACCGTGTGTAAAATGTGTGCTGGTTGTCTTGCTGTGTGGGATTTTGTGGATTAGTAGTCACATACACACCTATACTGTGTATACGAATGAGTGAGTATGTGTGTATATGTGAGTGTGTACAGTTCCCCAAGAGAGGTTTTAGCAGAGCGTTACTTATTCACCCCTCTGGCTGAACTGATGGAGCTCTCTGGCTAAGATCGCCCTGCATGAAAGATAGGTTGAACACGAACGATGTCAGAGACAGTCTTGTACTTGCACACTCATACACGCTCACACACACACTCAGACACCAGAGAAGCTGTTGCCTGACGGTGCGATTCAAACATTTACACCCACTGAGGTCGAGAGAAGCAGCATGGATTCACGGCTGCACTGAGTGAATGTAGAACAGAAAATCATAAAAATGCTGTACACACCCGTTGGAAACACAACTGAGAGAATTTGCAACGGCTTGTGAGCTGAAGCTTGAAGAGACATGAATTGAGCACACACAGACACATTGCACCTTGCCACCTCCCTTTTAATACAGTGCTGGGGAGTTAGAGGCCAGACCACAAATCAATAGACACCAGACTTAAGGCACTGGTTATGATATAATGGCAGCACTGAACTTTGCAAATCAAAACACGACTGTCATCTGTCACACACTGTGGAGTGCTACTTATAAATCTGCCTGAGATACTGGGATGTGAATGGAGATAGATAGAGGGAGGAGGAGAAGGTGTGAAAAAAGCAGGGAGAGGAACTACAGAAAAAGAGGAAACTGAAGAAAACTCAGAGAGCAGCAGAAAGAAAGGAGAGGAGGAGAGAAAGAAGGCCGGAGGTAATCGTTGATGACCTGGTTGAAAATGTCATGCTACATGTGGTACTTTCCAAGTGGCAGCCCAAAGAAGACAACAGAGACCTGCATAGCTCACGCATCACATGCCGTTCGACGGGAGGCCAGATTCGCATTAACATTAGAATATTCTCTAAATTACTCAGCAAATCTGTACTGGCAGTGCTCATGTGTATGAATGAGAGTCTGTCTGCATTTGAGAGAGTGTGTGTATATCAGGGAGAGGGGAGTAGTGAGGCAGACTGAGAGTAAGTGGGTGGCTGCATTAATTAATAATAAAATGCTTGAAAGCGTTTGTATATATGCAAATTGTGTGCATGCACAGAAAGGTGTGAGTATGGTCTGTGTGAGTTCACATGTGTGTATCAGACAAATCTTTAAAATCAGACCTGGGGGTCAATATCTATGTGTTGCTGGGCGTTCTCAAATTGCCTCAGATTACTGCCTGCTACTACCAATGCTGGGCTAATCGAAAGCAATTTGCATTTGGCTGATGGGCAATTTTAAAAGTGTCTCCCTGATGCAGGGTTTTTTTTTTCCCCCACCTAACATATGCTCACAAGGAGTGTAAAATGAAAGAGAAGGAAATGAGATCTAAGGGTTCAAGGAGGCGGGTTGAAAAAAGGGGAGATAATATTACATGGCTTGAGGAAGGGAGGGTTGAAGATGAGATCCACTGAAATGAGATGGTTTAAAAAAAGGAACAACACTTCAGGAATGGTGAGGGACGATAGCTGTTCACTTCCAAGAAAAAGGGCTTGTGAAATAGAGAGGCTGCACTGTGGAAGCAGCACCTCTACACAGACATGGGACCTGTTCCAAATTGAGTGGCCTTGTGTGGCCTTCATTACAAACCACGGACAGCCCAACACAAGGGGAGAAAAAGAGAGGCATATAAATTAAGAGAGAATGAAAGAGAGGGAGAAATTAGCTTAAGGAAGTGAAAATATACCAGGAGTTGCATTGCGTTGAATTAATCTCAGTGCTCACACCCGTATGGTGCTGTGAGCAGAAGGCAGGTGATCATCTATGTGCTTGGAGAGAATCAGCCTTTTCACAGCTCTACATAAATTTCTAATAGGGACACAATTGTAAACAGAGATAAGTGAAGAGACAAGAGCCTGGCCTCAAATTCAAAGCAGAGACACGAAGGACACAATCTGCCTTAGAATGAGCCATCTGCAGCTGCAGAGAATATAGTACACACTGTTTTTACATCATTGTATGAAAAATATTCTTGCACAGCATCAGTCATGTTGCCGTTGCACAATTCAATATATTAATTCTTCGGAATATAACTGTTTGAATCAGTTATGATAAAACATTTGTTGCATTAATACTATGGCTCTGTCAGCTTGGTGTGGGTGTTTTCTAGTTCTTGCTGTGCACAGCTTGTGAGGTTAAGTGTCTGGATTTACCGACACATTAACTGGAAAGATTGATCCTCCTTTTGCAGGACAACGACCTGAATGCTCGAGTCAATTTTCGCCACGGCGGAGCTTGCTGGCTCTGTCTGAATCAATTCTCTAACCTTTCTGAAATCCAGCAAAAGTGGGTGTACGTGTGGAAATTCATGTCTGTGCTGCAGGACATGAAATGCCTCATGCGACTCCCTCTGCATCACTATCTGTATATCTGTGTGTATGTGCATCTGGGTTCCACCTACCAGCTCGATGAGCTCCTGGTAGCACACCTGTCCCTCTTCATTGCTCTGGACCAGGGCTAACAGCATGTCCAGTTTGGACGGGTCCAGCTGCAGCTCATGGTGCTCCACCAAGCTGGTGAAGTTCTCCACTGCGATGAAACCGGTGTTCTCTGGGTCCAGCTGGAAAAAAAAAACAACAACAGCACTTTCAGACCATTGGGATAAAACACTGCATTGCCAATAACAGTTGTATTGAAGATGTTTCTGTTATGCATTGTGATTTTTTAATTAGCAGCGCTGCAGTGTCAGTTTCCCCCGAGGGGGAATAAAACAGTAATAGACAGCTAAGACGTATGCACAGAGACACAACAGATACTCAAAGACAAATGAGAGTTACAGGGCTGAATGCATAAGCTCAGACGGTGACACCGGTATTAATAAAGCTGTGTTGCCTTTGAAAGAATTAGACCTGCTTTAAGAAAAAGCCTCATTCAACCTCATTAAAGGGGCAGGTCTGTCAGTGCAAACAGCATGATGGTTGTTGTTGTTGGGAGCATCGAGAGAAGAAAGGCAGGCATGTCATTCTACTACCCAGTGACCTGCAGTTTCCCTAAAATAAAATAAAAAAATCTTTCAGCATTAAATGAGGTTGACTTTTCAGTCTTTGTTTCTGAGTGGATGCTTCATTTGACTGTGTGAGTTCGTCCTTGGTCACATTTGCAGCTCACAGTCAGTGTGGTTTTAATAATCACCACTCACTCACTGAGACCCACAGCCCCATGGGTTATTACTGCTGATGTCTGTATGCCAGTGCTTCTCCTCGTAATTGATTTAAGCAAGTGAGCGTCATAAAAATGGCTGAGTGTAGTTGTCTAAAATAGCGCACAGTTAAAAATGGCTTGTAAAGTATAGGGTGTGTGTCTACGCTTGGTTTTTGTAATATGGGGTTTTTTTGGGGCGGCAGTTTCTACCTACCAATTGCTTGATTTTCTTCCCTTACCTTCTCCTCTCAAATGCATTCAATTGGTCTGCAATGGCACGTTAATTTCTCGTGCCAGCTCTACTTAGTGCATCTGATTGTGTTTGTGAAAATGTGCCCGAGGACAAATGAGCAGTACAAAGAGACCACATGGGAAGAGCCCTTGCTGCTTCACATTTTACTGTTTCCTGAATACTAACACAGCCTCATTAGGTTTCAGATAGTAAACCAATAGTCTTTCTTTTGCCCCAGGGAGGAGTGAGTTTGCAGATGTTGCGTCAGTGTGGAGTCAGTCCTGCTGGATCATCGTTGCCCATCAGTCCACAAGAAGAATCCCGCCTAGGCTGCCTTAGTGTGGACCTGGCCTGCTCTGAAATGGTTAGACAAAGGAGTTTCGTCGGCTGCATGAGGAGAACAGCATTAAATTACACAGCGCCGTGTCAGTCTCTGCTGCAGGCGGCTCAAAGCTTAAAGCTCCACTGCTCAACTAAGAAGAACCATCAGGGAATCCATTGGTGTGAGATGTGAGATGTGTGCGCATCTCCTTCTGAACATTTTTACTGTATGTACGTCCCCCTACACTGTTGCCAGATTTATTTATTTTTGACATTAATTTAGTTACACACAAGCATCCTTTTAATTCCACTTAATCTGACCTTCTTTTAATTCCACTTAATCTGCTTTTTTTTTTCACTCCCCTGAAAACTTATGTTGTTTATTCACCTGGCAGAGCACAGTGGAGGCAGGAACAAATGGGTTAGTTTTGATGATGCTTGACTCAGACTGTGAGTGAGTGTTTTCTCACTGCTGGTTTATGCAGTGAAGGGATTTTTGTTAGTTAGAATACATTTATTATACTCTATGAATACTAACATCACTCAACAACTAAGATTCTGTACACATACAACCATTGTTGTCTCTTGGGCATTTACTGATAACACGCTTCACGCCATGCACATTGTTTAAAATCCATACAATACTTGAGTAATCTCCCTCTTGGTCATTTTCCTCACGCATCTCGGTATAATCTCAAAACTCAGCTTCTTAGCCTCTCAAGTCTGTCTGGAACGCACATTAAACCAAATTTGTGGGAAAAAACAAAAAAACAAGATGGGAGAGAAAACGGGCCCAGGTCTATTTTTAGATAATCCCCTTAACTGTGTTTTCCATGGACGTTTGTTAAAACACGGCTCCATTCACCCCTTGAGGCTTGCTGAGCAAAATGGTGCAGAAACTAACCAACGTTTGTGATGTGTAAGGTATCAGGATGACATATAGGGGAATACGCACAAAAAAAGACCGCAGAGAGGCAAGAGGTGGAAAATGGGAGAGAGGGTGGTGGGTGGTAGGTCAGTTGATGAAATGAAAGATGAAGAAAAATGACGAAAAACAGTAGAAGGAGAAGAGACTATGAAAAGAGAGGCGAGAAGAACAGAGACAGCCAGACAGAAATGAAACGAAGACGCACAGAGAATAAAAATGCCATGCCACTGTCTGTTATTCTGTACATCTGCCTAACCCAGCAGTCTGGCAGTGAGTCCTCCTCTTCTCTTTCCTATAAGAGGGGCTGTGACACACTCCAGTGCTCTGCATTCACTTGCCACAGAGGGGAGATAGATCAGATTCTAATGTGCTCCTGGCTCAGCCCGGGCTGACAGGGGGAACAGAGAGCCACACTGGGGATGTCTGATTACTGTCAGCCACCATATGTCAGCGCATCACTACACATACAGCAGCGACGCAGACAGAGACACACTGTATATGGCTGTGCACATTTACGCAAACCCAGTGTTGACGCCGAGCTGTCATACGGCCGTGATACTATCCCCTTCGTAGTCTGACCTTATGCAGGAAGAACGTTACACAGGGGAGGCTGTCTGCTGAGGATACAAGGAGGTGGAGGATTGGTTCTTGTAGCCAATTAGGGTTATCAATTAGCGAGATGAGGTGCACTGAGATGAATGAGTGCTGGCAAGATGAGCCCGTTTTTTTCCTTTTTTTGTGCAGGCTGGTGATGTGCACGAACAAGAGGGGAGAGACAGAGAGACAGAAAAAAAGGGTTGGAAGAAGGAGGGAAAAGGCGCTGAGAGGGAAGCAGTTATTGAAGCGATCCAACACTGGTGAGGGCGACACTTTGACAAGCTGCATGCGTTGCCATGGTTACCAGTCGCCCGTGTGTCATCCTTTTCTTGCGTTTCCCCCCCTTTTCTCCCCCCCGACATATTGGTGTTCGAGAGGCACAAAGAGACGATGAAAGGAGGGAAGGATACAGAGCAGAAGGAAAGATAGAATACAGATGGATGGTAAGAGACCAATAAGATAAGAAGAGAAGGGGGCAATAAGACGATGGCAGGATTTAGATGTAAAGGGAGGCGGGGCGGAAGAGTATGGATGGAAGGTGGAGGTGTTACGACAGAGAGAGCGACCGAACTTGGCTGGCTCAAGAGCAAGTGGGAGGAGATCGACAAGACACGGGATGAAAATGTATACACGAGTACGAGGAGGAGGAGAGGAGGGCAAAGAGAGGAGTGGAATGCTGACTGCAGGGGAATGATCTCAGTGTTAACCCCGGAGACCTCTATTACCTTCAGCACAGCAACTCCAACTGACCCCAGCCCACGACTAACTTATCAGCCTGTTCCACAGGGGCTCAAGAGCGAAACCTCCAGCCTGGGAGCAAACCACAAAACCCAGCCGTGATAGAAGTACAGCCAATGGGCTGAGACGCGGCCAGTCCTACCGTCCTACCTGCAAAAGATACTATGGCAGACTGTGTGTAGCACTAGAAGATTCATACTGTTAGACCCTGCATGCAGTCACCTTAATTTTTTCAAGATGGCAAAGCTTTAACTGTTTTATCAGGCTCTTCCTGCTTTTTCCTCTAGTAAAGGTAATCTTATCTGAACTGAAGCGTAGTTAATTAATCAATTAGTCGATCAACAGAAAATTAATCGGCAACATTTTTGAACTTTTTTTTACCCAAAAAAGTTTCAGCTTCTTAAAAATGTATTTTTTTGGACTACTGATTGGAAGAAACAAGCAACTTGAAGACGTCATCTTGAGCTCCTAGAAATTGTGATTGGCATTTTCCCCTTTTTTTCTGATACTACATAGGCTAAATGATTAATTGAGAGGATAAGTAGCCCTAAATCTTCAAATTAGGATTTACTTTGAACAATGCAAGGCTTCAAGTGATGTTTTAATTACTACCTGGTCAGATATACTGAAATTAAAGTATATCGGTTTGTACAAATTAGCTGCAAATTAACTTCCACAAGGTAATGCAGCACCAGCGCTGGTACGATTCCCAGTCTCAGTGACACAGTGCTAACCCAGTGGCACAAAGCTAATACTACACACCACTTTGGTCTCTGTGAACAAGACTGTCAAGCATGAGCAGGGCTGTGTGTCTGCAGAGGGCAGTGGCATTTACAGGGCAGAGCATATTTGCATGGCATCAGATAAAACCCTTTGAATTGTCTCTGCTGCCCTCAGGACTCACTGGTGTTCACCAACAACTGGGCCACTGACTCTGTAATTATCACAGTGCACGTTCTGCCCTGCTGTTACCATCATTATGGTCAGACTTCACCACTGTGGCACTGCAATGTGACGGCTCAAAGATCCAACCCACAAGAGAGACAATCTAAATTTTTCCTTGATGCACACAATCATCTAACTACATTTCCTGGTGTTTGAACACAAACAGCCAGATACAGCTTTCAAATACAGCTCAATGCAAATTAGCATCAGAGAATGATAAAAGGAGACAGTGTATAAGAGTCTTATTCTCGCTGCTTGACATAAATATGTCAGAATAGTATTCAGAATCCCAAGTCCTTATGGGAGGGATATAAATAAGCCAGATAAGACCTGAATGACACATAGGGAGATATTCACCAACTAATGATAGTGTACTTTAGTGGCTGAGTGCTGCCAACCATCAAGTTGCCTTATCAGTGGCACTGCAATAGAAAGACTATCAGAGAAACTGCGTCTCTGTGTGTGTGCATACTCTGATCATGAGCATATGTGTGAGCCTGCATAGGCCAGAAATAGCCTGAGCTCAGCATTGCAACCTCCTGCAGACAAAGACTAATAAACTCACTCATGTTGCCACTGTTGCTTTCTCTTTCTCTTCCCCTGCAGCATTTTCTTGTGGTTCAGTGTGACAGGGCTGCAATACTCCCTTTCCTTTACA